CATATCTTTGGCACTGTAGACTAGGGCACATAAATGAAACAAGATTGTCTAGGATGCATGCAAATGGATACCTAGATTCCTTGGATTTGGAATCCTATGGACAATGTGAATCTTGTCTAGCTGGAAAAATGACTCATCACACGCCCAAAGGGCTTGAGAGTCATAGGGCTAGTGAGTTATTAGAACTCATTCACTCTGATGTATGTGGCCCAATGTCTATTGAGGCTAGAGGAGGATACTCTTATTTCATTACCTTTACGGATGACAAATCAAGATTTGGGTATGTGTACCTGATGAGATATAAATCCGAAGCTTTTGAAAAGTTCAAAGAGTTTAGGAATGAAGTAGAGAAACAACGTGACAAGATAATTAAGACATTACGATCAGATCGTGGTGGTGAATATTTGAGCCATGAGTTTCAGGATTATCTAAGAGAGAATGGAATTCTCTCGCAGTTTACTGCTCCTTACACACCACACCAAAATGGTGTCTCCGAAAAGAGAAACAGGACCTTGTTAGACATGGTTAGGTCTATGATGAGTGAGACTCAACTTCCAAAATCGTTTTGGGGATATGCCCTAGACACAGCGGCATACCTTCTAAATAGGGTACCGTCTAAATCTGTTCAGACCACACCATATGAGATATGGAATGGTAAGAGACCCAACCTGAGTTACCTCAGGGTATGGGGATCGCCAGCTTATGTCAAAGCGTTGGCATCAGACAAGCTTAGTGCTAAGAGTACTAAATGTCTATTTGTGGGGTATCCCAAAGGTACTAAGGGATACTACTTTTACTCCATGGAAGAACACAAAGTGTTTGTGTCAAAGAATGCTGAGTTCCTTGAGAAGGATTTGATCTCTCAAGGAGCCAGTGGGAATAAGATTGATCGTGAAGAAGTTCAAGAACCACATGAACAGATTGAGGAACCCAAGTCTGCTCCGCAGGCGACGTTCTCCAATGGAGAAGTAAACACACAACTCCGTAGGTCAACGAGGGGCATTCATCCACCTGAGAGGTATGGGTTTGTGATTGAGAATCAACAAACCGTCGAGGATGATGAACCAAGTAACTACGAAGAGGCAGTCAAGGATGTTGACTCTTCTAGATGGCTTGAAGCCATGGAATCTGAAATGGATTCGATGTATCAGAATAAGGTATGGACCTTGGTTCCTAAACCGCAAGGAATAGTTCCTATCGGTAATAAATGGGTCTTTAAAAGAAAGACTGATGCAGATGGCAACGTTCAGACCTACAAAGCTAGGTTGGTGGCGAAAGGATATCGTCAAAGACAAGGAGTTGACTATGATGAAACTTTCTCACCAGTTGCCATGATCAAATCTATAAGGATCATGCTTGCGATAACAGCATATCACGACTATGAAATTTGGCAAACGGATGTCAAGACCGCCTTCTTGAATGGGTTCTTGAAGAAGGAAGTGTACATGACACAACCTGAAGGCTTTGTAATCAAAGATCAGGAGCATATGGTATGCAAACTTCAAAGGTTGATATATGGGCTAAAGCAAGCATCAAGGAGTTGGAATATTTGTTTTGATGAGGTCGTTAGGAGTAACGGTTTCATCAAGAACGAGGATGAACCTTGTATTTACAGGAAGGTTAGTGGGAGTAATGTTGTCTTCCTAGTGCTTTATGTAGATGACATATTGCTTATAGGAAATGACATCCCCACATTACAAACAACGAAAGAGTGGCTTTCAGAAAGCTTCACCATGAAGGATTTGGGAGAGGCGGCCTTTATACTTGGTATAAAGATCTATAGAGATAGATCAAACAGGCTGCTGGGTTTATCTCAATCCACGTACATTGACAAGATGCTAAAGAGGTTTAGCATGGAAGGGTCGAAAAGGGGTTTTCTACCTGTCAGTCATGGGATACATCTTTCAAAGGCTATGTGTCCTAAGTCACAGCCTGAGAAGGATCGCATGAGTGGAATTCCATACGCTTCGGCTATTGGGTCCATCATGTATGCCATGATATGTACGAGACCAGATGTCTCATATGCTTTAAGCATTACGAGCAGATACCAGTCTGACCCTGGAGAGGGTCACTGGACGGCAGTCAAGACCATCCTTAAATACTTGAGAAGAACTAAGGATGCGTTTTTGGTCTATGGTGGGGTTAATGAGCTTACAGTGAAAGGGTTCACTGATGCCATCTTTCAGAGTGACAAAGATGACTGCAAGTCACAGTCAGGGTTCGTATTCACCTTAAATGGTGGGGCAGTATCTTGGAAGAGTTCCAAGCAGGAGACAACAGCAGATTCAACGACAGAAGCTGAATACATAGCTGCTTCAGAAGCGACTAAGGAAGCCGTGTGGATCAAGAAGTTCATATCTGAACTTAGGGTGGTTCCAAGCGTGGATGAGCCCATACAGTTGCTGTGCGACAACACTGGAGCCATTGCGTAGTCAAAGGAACCTAGGTCTCATCAAAGATCTAAGCACGTGCTCCGCAGATATCACCTGATTAGAGAAATCATTGATAGAATGGATGTAAAGATGGATTATGGTACCACAGATGATAACCTGGCCGATTCTCTGACAAAGGCTGTTTCTCAGAGAAAACATGATAGTCATTATGAGGCTTTGGGTATACGACTTAGGTCTGATTGGCTCTAGGCCAAGTGGGAGCTTGTTAGTATTTGGGTGTCATAGAGACAATCTTATGATTAAATAAGGACATAGATGTAGACCTTTTTAATATTGTCGCAAATAAATAAAAGCACTCTTTATCTTGTTTCATAATTCTGTCTCGATATTAATATTAATATATTATGAATAACTTGATAAACCCCGAGGAATAAAATAGGTATCTCTTGAGTATCTGTGATGAGATCACAATCATGAGGATTCAAGAATACCGGATGTTTATTCCTAATTTTATGTTCCTAGTCTAGAGATACTAAGAATGGGGTCAGTAATCTCGGGTAAGACTAGCACGACTTATCTATTTGTATATGGATACAAGGTATAGACCTCATGTGCTACAGATATGGAGATGTCTTAGCTAAAGTCGTGGGTGGACCTATAAGGGTATAGCTCGCACTGAACGGACCCACAAAGAGACTCTATGAGGAACTCTCACAGAGAGTATCATTAGAGTAGTCCCTTTATATTTGGGTATGTCTTTCCTAAGACCAGAAGTTATTACCTAGACTGTGTTCTAGAAGGCATGCTTTGATTGTGCACCTCGTCTGCCTGAAACATGGAGACTCATAGGTATACTGTTGGGCTTGTCCTGAAAGAACACAGGGCTAGGGTGATAAGCTGAAGGAATTCGTAAAATCTCTGTGAGAGATTAGGTTATCTGTAAACCGGAGAAATCGGGATGACATTTACAGGGACTCGGGAATCTATGCATAGTAAAAGAGATCATGAGATGATCTGCCTTTAGAGTCTGTAAATTGAAGATTCCCTAATTTCGAATAAAGCTTACCCTAAACCGCAGGGGTTGATACGCTTCCTTACCCTAGGTTTTATGGGAAGGTAACCGAGACGAAAGGAAATACGTACGGCAACCAAATATGTTTAATAGGATGATCAAATCATTAATCTAACTAGTTCTGAGGCAACAAAGCATTGCTAGTGCTCTGTGTTGTCATTAGATGGGTTGTGGGCTTATTGGGCCCAAGCCCATTTATGTCAGTGGCTAAGTTAGACCTAATGGGTCACACACAAACACCTAATTGTCTAGATGCTCTAGCATTAAAGGTATTGAGCCTAATAATAGTTATTAGCCCAAGAAGTTGTTTGGAACTCCACCTAAAGGGGTGGAGGGCGCATGGTTCATTTTAATGGGCTTGGATAGTCCAAGACATTACTAATTAATTTAATTAGTTAAATTAATTATCAAACATTTAAATTTTGAATTTTGGAATTCGAAATTTGAATTTTGAAATTTTGAATTTTGAATTTGAATTTCGAAATTCGAATTTTGAATTTGAAATTTGAAATTTGAAATTTGAATTTTGAAATTTGGATTTTGAATTCGAATTTTGAAATTTGAATTTTGAAATTTGAAAATTTGAATTTTGAATTTGAATGTTTGAACATTTGAATTTGAATATTTGAATGTTTGAATTCAAATATTTGAATTTGAATTTGAATTGCCTATGAAAGGTTGTTTCATAACAAAAGGATAAGATGAGATCTTGTTGGAACAAATCACTAGTATCATGAGAGAATCTTTTGGACAAGATCCAAGGCCATATATGGCGCTGATTTGGGTTGTTGGTGAGCAAGATTTGCTCATCAAAATCAGCTCCAGAAGATTCAGTCAGTTGGGAGAAAATCTGAGTGAGTTGATTCAAATTTGAATGCAACTACTCAGATGTATCTGGTCACCTTTTTGGGCTATATGGGGCGCACCATATAGCTGATCTTATGAAGATTTCTGATCAGAATTTTGAATAGGTTTTGAACCAATTCTCAAGAGAATATTCTAGGAGCCTGTTAGCAATTTTTGAAATAAAACAGCTCCACTTCTCTCTCTCCTATCTGGCGCCTAATGATCAGATTTTTAGGAGAAAAATCTGATTGGTATTTTATTTTAAATACTCTTCTCTTATGTGCTTAAGTGATCAGTTGTTCCTCCAAGGGTTTTTCTGAAAACCTAACCTATTCTCTCCTCTCTCCTGCGCCACTTGTGAAGCTTTCACATTGAGAGCTTCACTTTTTCAAACACTTTCACCTAGCCTCCATCTTCACACATAGAGCGCCTAGCAAGCCTCTTTGTGGTGATCATCCGGTGGCTTCACAAGAAGGAGTTCTTGCACCTAGACGAGTGGGTGGTGTGGATCAACGTTAGAGGGTCTGAACCCTTCAGACCTGCCTTGATCATCTGGTGATTTCACGAACAAGGTAACATCATGCTTTCCTAAAGCATGATCTTGATGTGCATGTATATTCCGCAAAGAAAAATTTGCTTTTCCCTCTTGCATGCATCGACCTTCAAGGCCATTTCGAACTTTCACGTACAAGTTATCAAACTTGCTCTTTGTGACAGAGTCGTTCACATTGATTGCAGGGAACAAAAGGGTTCCATTGGCTTGCATTTTATAAAGCCTCTTAACCCCACTCGTTGTTTCCTCAGAAACCCCAATTAGCCTCTCTTTAATTTTGTGGTACCTCTTTGGATCGGTCTTCAACCTTTCCCTTATTATGGAAAGCATGATTCGGAACTCACTGTTAACTGTTTCGGGAAGCTGACCCGTTTTATTGTAGTGATCTTCGGCTTTGATGCCCTCGTGGATGAGGAGGGTGGCGTCACCGCCGTCGTCCACGATGAGGTCCGGGCCGTCGTCCGGACCCCAGTTGAGGGCGCAATCGGTGCACCACCAGTACTCCTGGAGGGTTTCTCTTTTCCAGGCGAAGACTGAGGCGCTGTCACGGGCTATTGTGGCGGCGGCATGGTATTGGGTGGAGAAGATGTTGCAGGAGCACCACCGGACCTCGGCACCGAGGGCGGCGAGGGTCTCTATGAGGACGGCGGTTTGGATGGTCATATAGAGGGATCCTGTTATCTTGGCTCTCTTTAAGGGCTGTGATTGCCTGAATTCTGCCCGGCAGGCCATTAGTCCTGGCATCTCCACCTCTGCCAGCTCGATCTCCAGCCGCCCGAAGTCCGCCTGCGAAAGGTCCTTCACCTTGTACTCATGGCCGCTCATGGTTTTCTTAACCAGCAAGGACATGCCTAGTACTAGAGATATGCACACACAAGATAAAAATAGAAACTAGAAGGAAACAAAAATGTGTGGATGAATATACATGTAATAAAGAGGTTCAATAAAAACAAGCTAGCAACAATTGGATTGGATGAATATGTAGTAAAGAGGTTCAATGAAAACAAGCTAGCAGCAATTGGACTGATGATAAGTAACTTAGGTCACATTCTACTTTGGATGGAGTGGATGCATGTGAAGACATGAGGAAGAAGTATAATATACATTACAGAAGGATTATAATATACATTACAAGAGGCCAGAATGGTTGTTTAAGGGTTCTGAGATTGTACAATATGCGATGTTGTGGGATTACGATGCACAATTAAAAAATCACTCCCTATTAAAACCTGACTATTAAGGGTGGGTTGAGGGCAATCTTTTACCCTTACATAATTTCAAAGAGACATTTCCCTGATTTGAACTCGTGACCTTTCGGTCACAAATAACAGTTTTACCACTGCTCCACCCTCACCCTCTTTTTTATTAGGATGCACAATTAAGAAGAAAAAATCCAGGGTTGAGTGTTGCTAAACGTTTGCATATCAACAATGGAGGTCCTTTCCACTTTCAAAAGATTATTTGTTTGGAGGCATTAAAAATTCTGTTTAAGTCGGAGTGCAGGCCTTTGATTGGCTGGTATGGATAATACATATATAATATCTATAAACATTATTTATTTAGATTCTTTGCTGATTAGTAATTAACTTCAGTAACTATATGTTTGCTTGAAGGGTTATTATGCTGGCAGCTGCTGTCAGCTTGTTCTCAGGATGGAGACAATTCTTTCTATGACGTAGCATATGCGCATATACAGTGGTTGATGTGGAGTCTAAAAGTGTAATTTAGTTTCCTCTATGATTTCTGTAATTTATAGTAATGTGTTTTTGAAATTTTATATCTTATTCTACTGTTTCAACCTGATGTGGACACATGAAGTTGGTTTTTGAACCTCCTTACTGAGGACATTGGTGACCCTAAAGAAAATGGCTACTGGTTATTACAGATCGACATAAGGTCAGTTTAACCTTACTTCTTTATGACAAACTTATATCTTAATCAACTACATTATATATTTTGGCATTGCGAGTGTTAGACATAGTTGCTCACACATGTGGGGCTTTTTTCCTGTAATGTAGAGTGCCCTGTAGATTCTATGCAAGGTATATTTTGGCTAACTTCACAAAGCATTGGAAGGGTTTAAAACTTAGGAATATGTTTTGAGCTTGTGCTAAGGCCACAACAAGATATCATTTTGAGATGTGTATTGAGAAGTTGAAGACTGTTAGTGAGGATACATATTGACTCGTTGTCTAGGATACCTCCCAAACAGTGGTCTAGGCTTCACTTTAGCACTTACAATAAGAACATGTCCATTTTAAACAATGTGAGTGAACAATTTAATGGAAAGATAGTGAAATTCATATCAAATCCATAATCACCACAGCAGAGGAGGTAAGGTGTTATGTAATGAGGAAAATAAACAAGTAACGACAACTTATGTAAGGATACCAAGGTTATTTATCATGAACAGCAAAGAAGGTTAGAAATAGCAAAAAAAGAAAAGTTTCAAATGGGTCCCAGAATGGTTAGAGGACCCTAAAGGAAACAAGTTTGAGGTTTTATGCCACACAAAAAGGTGGACGTTGCTTTGGCAGAATAAACATGTACTTGTAGGATGTGGGACCTTATACTGGTGTGTCATGCATGCATGTGCTATCCTTGGATACAAGAACCTAAACACACAGCTTTATGTCCATTCTTTTCTAACCAAGGTAAGACTTGATTTGGTGTACCCACCATTTATTCAAGCTGTACCAATTGAAGAATATTGGGAGCATACTGAGACAGATCCTATACAACCTTCAATCACTAGAAGACTACTTGGCAGGCCAAAATATGTAGGTAGGGTCCAAAGGAAAACATTCAAAACCCTTACAAGTTAAAGAGGAAGTATAAGTTGATTGAATGCCCTACGTGTCACATGACTAGACATAATAGAAGATCATGTAAGGGGACACCAGCAACAACATAGCCAACTGATGAACAAATTGCTACTACTTTAGAATCTGACATTACACCTCAACCATAAGATGAGATATACATACCTACTCCTTTCTATTAAATCTCATATCTTTGTATAATTTACTATTTATACTGTCATTGGCTTGTGTAAATTAACTCTAGTATGTTTCACCATCACCAAGCCAAGTTGGCCCACCTTCTACCAGACAAAGTTTCCTAACTCGACCACTAAGACCAAGGGGCCCCACTGTACTGCCACAAACAAAAACTGTAACAACACCACCAAGACACTGGCCCAACTACAACAAGACCAATGGTTAAACCTTGACCAAGACCATGGAGTAATAAGCTTGGTGTTACCTCTGCCACAGGGATGTAAAGGATAATATCTAGTGTTCCACAACCAAGGTATAATCCAGAATTACTTCCCTCCATGCCTCCACCACTCAGGTTTTGATATAGAAATAGGTGTAGAAATTTTTAAAAACCCTACAAAAATCATCTATAGCTGCTACCATTGCAGATGCTGTTTCAGCAATGTCATCTTTTGTATAGCTTCAAACAACAGCAGTTATTGTTGTCTTCTTAGTGTTAGTATATGGGTGTCCTAGAGACAATCTTTTTGATTAAATAAGGACATAAGATGTGGACCTTTTTGTCGCAAATAAATAATAAGCACTCTTTATCCTGTTTCATATTTTGTCTCGATATTATTGTTAATATATTATGAATAAATTGGATAAAACCCTTGGAATAGAACAAGTATTTATTGAGTATCTGTGATGAGATCACGATTATGAGGATTCAAGGATACCGCACGTTTATTCATAATTTCATGTTCCTAGTCTAGAGACACTGAGAATGGGGATCAGTGATCTCGGGTAAGACTAGCACGACTTATCTACTTGTATTTGGATACAAGGTAAAGACCTCATCTGCTACAGATATGGATTAGCTAAAGTCGTGGGTGGACCTATAAGGGTATAGCTCGCACTGAACAGACCCACAAAGAGACTCTATGAGGAAATCTCACAGAGAGTATCATTAGAGTAGTCTCTTTATATTTGGGTATGTCTTTCCTTAGACCAGAAGTTATTACCTAGACTGTGTTCTAGAAGGCACGCTTTGACTGTATACCTCGTCTGCCTGAAACATGGAGACTCATAGGTACACTGTTGGGCTTGTCCTGAAAGAGCACAGGGCTAGGGTGATAAGCTGAAGGAATTCGTCAAATCTCTGTGAGAGATTAGGTTATCTGTAAACCGGAGAAATCGGGATGACATTTACAAGGACTCGGGAATCTATGCATAGTAAAAGAGATTATGAGATGATCTGTCATTAGAGTCAGTAAATTGAAGATTTCCTATTTCGAATAAAGCTTACCCTAAACCGCAAGGGTTGATACGTTTCCTTACCCTAGGTTTAATGGGAAGGTAACCGAAACGAAAGGAAATACATACGGCAACCAAATATGTGCAATAGGATGATTATGTCATTAACCTAACTAGCTCTGGGGCAACAAAGCATTGCTAGTGCTCTGTGTTGTCATTTGATGGGTTGTGGGCTTGTTGGGCCCAAGCCCATTTATGTCAGTGGCTAAGTTGGGCCTAATGGGTCACACACTAACACCTTATTGTCATGATAATATAGCATTAAAGGTATTGGGCCTAATAATGGTTGTTAGCCCAAGAAGAAGTTTGGAAGCCCACCAAAAGGGAAAAGGGCGCATGGATCATGTAATGGGCTTGGATGGTCCAAGACATTACTAATTAATTTAATTAGTTAAATTAATTATCAAATATTTAAATTTTGAATTTTGAATTTGATATTTGAATTTTGAAATTTGAATTTTGAATTTGAATTTGAATTTTGAATTTTGAATTTTGAATTTGGAATTTGAATTTTGAATTTAGAATTTAGAATTTAGAATTTGGAATTTAGAATTTGAATTTAAATTTAGAATTTGAATTTTGAATTTAAATGTTTGAACGTTTGAATTTAAATTTTGAATTTGAATTTGAATTGAAAGGATAAGGTAAGATCTTGTTGGAACAAATCCCAAGTATCAAGTGGAGATCTTTGAGCATCATCCAAGGCTGATTTGGGGCGCTGATTTTGGGGTCTTGTGATGGTCATAGGATCAACCAAATGAACTCCAATCAGATTTGGTTTGTTGAGAGAATAAGTGAGTGAGTTGGTTCAAGTTTGAATGCAACTGCTCAACGTATCTGGACTGTTTTGAGATATGCACTTGATATCATGAGGATATGATAAGAGGTTGTTGGCAAGATTTGATTTGCAACAACTCCACTCATTCCTCTCCTAGTGTGCGCTACATAGGGCTGATTTTTGAGTGAAGAAATCAGATTTTTATTCACTCATTCTCTCATCTCCTTTGGTCATCCTTTTGTGAGGTTTTCTTAAGAGAGTTTTGAAAATAACCTAGCACTTTCTAAGTGAATTCCATGCGTCACGTTTGTGTTTTTCTTGTTGAAAATTAACTCAACTAAACACCTTGAAACCTTGCCTCCTACCTCTCCATTAGGGACGCCTAGCTTGTCTCCCTTGGTGTTCGTTGGTGGCCTTGAAGAAGAGTTCTTCCGTCTTGACAAAGGGTGGTGTGAATCAACATTAGAGGGCTTGTATCTTCAAGCCTCACCTTATCATCTTCAAGTTTTGAAAAGCAAACAAGATAACATCCATGTCCTAAAACATGTTTCTTGATATAATATGTGTAATTTCGCTTTGAAAAATTTGTTTTCATCCTTATATGCCTACGGCCTTCAAAGCCATTTTTCTTTCAGTTAGTATTCATTCAGGGAGCACGACTGGATCCCACCATTTTGGATATCCCCATCAGTTCAAAACAATGATCTTCGGTATGTCCAATCTGATTGCAATGAGTGCATTTATAGTTAGACTTATCAATACCATTTGTTGTCTTTGGTCGATTTCAAGTCATCATTGCTATTGCTTCAGATTCTTCAGGCTCTTCTTTCAGTGTTACACAACATACTGCCTCTTGTCAAATCAACATTAATATTCTTCCAAATTTAGAACTGGTTCTTTTCATTAATATCTTTAGGGTCCTTCATGACCACCTTCATGACCACTTTATCTGGATTGTTTAATCCTTGAAAAACCTCAGTCAACTCTCTTGAAGTGTTTCTTTAATTTCTTGTATCAGTTAAAATATTGAAGAGTCATTTGTCTCTTAGTTTTCTTACGTGAATTATGAAGTTAAATTGTTATGTTTATTAAGGATATAATAACTGATGTTATGAGTAGTTAATTAATGGTGTTATGAGACTTTTGATTAACTTTGTAATAAGTCTCTTCATCGATACTTTCAATTTTTTGTATTGCCTATTGATAGGCTTAATGTATTGAAGAAATATGAAGCATGTTAAGTGTTTCAATTTTAGAGTCTCGTAACATTCAGAGAGACTTTCCACTTTATTTTGCGGTGAAGGCCTTTTGATTCAACGGAAACATTTGCAACCCACCACTCCTATCATGAAAAGTTTTTGACAGAGCATTCCAAATCTCAGCAACTGTTGGCAAGCATCTAGAGACTAGAGTCATGGACGTCAATATTCATCTCTTCACTTTTTGATTCTTGGCTATTGGCATTCCACTTTTCATGGGTATCTTCTGATTCTTTGTCTTGTTATGACCAAATACCATAGGACGATTTCTGCACTGAAAACACCAATTGAATAACCAACGGAACAAATTAACTTCGTTCTAGATTATTCAATCTTCACTTAGTCCAAATTTCGAAGATTTGCTCGCTCTGTTTTTTTTAAATAAAACAAAAAACTTCATATTCGTCCTTCAAAAATTTGGTGGCACACTAATTAGTTTTGCGGAAAAGAAAAAATTTTATTCTGAATATTTAACGTGTATGGCCGACATTTGTGCCACTATTTTTTATTTAACATTAATCAAAAGATGAATTCATATGGAGTTTTTACATTCTAAAAAGTTAATTTATGCAGTGTCTAATTTTTTTAAAGGTGAATTTGAAAATTACATTTTTTATTTTTCTTACAACAAGGTTATGTTTTAAAATCGTTGCAAAAATTTTGAGCTCATCGGTGACTCATGCTTTCGCCAGAAGTCGAATTTTTTATTTTTTATTTTCTTTTTCTCTACATTATTGAAGACATATAAAATCACTTTTGTCACACTAGGGGCTCCTCCAGCGCGTATGATTTGAACTCCCAAATCTTTATATCACTAATGTTTAGTATAAATTTGCCCCATAGCAGTTTTTAATTACGGCCTCATCCCAAAATCTCTGCCCGCAAAATAAGGACAAAATAAGAAATTAAATTAAACCATTTTAAAAAAAAAAAAAGAGAAATTAAATTAAACTATATTGAAATTTTATTTCAATGTGAAAATTATTGTGGGCTGACAAGTAACTTATAAAAGTTCAGCCCAGAAGTAAAATCCATGAGAGGTCAAGCTTAAATGTTGACAAAAGATGGTAACAACTGACAAAGTTGAATAGAAATAGGATAATCTGAATCTAATAATAATAATAATAATAATAATAATATCATTAGATGAGACTTGAGACTGAAGAGTGAAATGGGTAGACGAGTGCATCCATGGATGATCCATGTTTCACCATTAATCATTTAGCAAGAACCTCAAAGACCATTGGAAGCAGAACGGATATTGTTCTTGTTATTGGTGGGTTCTTGGACACTATTACCAACCACCACCTTTGATAGATTCACTTCCCCTTTTCTTGCTGCTATCTGCTGCTTCGTGGAATTATAGTAGGTTGCATAGAGAATTAGTTGTGCCACTGAAAACATTGTCCCAATCCCATTTGGTATCTGACAATTTAGCACAACAAACAAGAAGTTACTCTAATTCACTTACCCTCACGAGAGAAAGGATAAAATAAAATACATCTTACTCCAATGAAGTATAACACTCACAACTTACCTCGTTTTTAGTTATCATTTAGCTTCTTGTATTTGTTTTAAATGAAAACATTAATAATATTTTTCAATTAAATCATTGAAGTCAACGGCGGACCTGCACTATTGTCCATATAGGTAACTGCAGACACTAACTTGTAAAAGTAACTTTCTTTTTTTTATTAAAAAACTGATCTGTTTTGCTTTTAGAGTTGTATAGTTAACTTAGTTTAGATTTACTAAGTTGTTACTTTCTCTTATCTTAATGGTTGGTATTGTGGTCATGTACTTAAAAGTCACATTTTCAATTCTTATATATATATTTTTTGGAAACTGATCCTAATTATCTCTTTGAGGCGAATCAGAACCCCCCGGTATCCCCACGAGTTCGACTCTTTGAGCCGCCTATGGGACTAATCCAGAGTTCGGGTGCGAGTCCAAAGATTACGGTACTTATGTCCTTCCCCAGAGTTCGGGTGCGAGTCCAGAGTTCAATTCTTATATTTAACCTTTTGCAAATGCAAAATAAGGCTATCTATCGTATACCCTTCCATGGATCCTGTGCATGGCAAGAACTTTTAAACAAAAAAATTTGGGAGCACTGCTGTCGAACTCCTGCCAATAAATGTGTAAACATAAATATAATTTTATGAGTCCGCCACTTAAGTAACGAGTCACCCCTCACGTATCCTCGGTTTTAACTTTTTGAGTCGGCTATGAGACTAATTTCGAATCAGAGTTTAACTCCTCGTCCCTCTTCAAAGAAAATTGAACTCAGTTTCTCTCCACATCTCCTTGATTTGTGTTAGCAACTAAGCATATATATATATATATATATATATATATATATATATATATATTTTACATTTGACTTGATTGCAATAGAAACGTTTTTGCTTCAAATCAAACTTGAAATTGGGCAAAATGAGAAATGACAACAACTAAGCGAAGTACAATATGTTTAAGGCAAAGAGAAAATCATGAAAAGTGGGATTATATAATATGTTGTTTTCTTACCGCGATGAAAGGGTCAAAAGGGATGAAAGCATAAGTGGTCCAAGACACACCATTACCAAATGAAGCCAGAGAGAGGTAAAACGGCATATACTCAACGCTTTTGGTCGTGATCACCAGTTTCTGCACCCCCAATATATATAATGCATCACAAACCAAACATTAACATCATACATGTGTGGCAATTCAACAATGAAAAAAAAAAAAAAAAAAAAATTATATATTTTGAGATATGAGATTACTACTAACCATGACGGCTAAGGGCGAAGCATACATGGTAACATTGAAGAGCATGCATATAGTTCCAACAATGGCAGAGCGCTTCTTGGTGGTGTGAAAAAGAGTTAATGAGACAAAGGTTAGAGCGCTGATGAAAATAAGTTCCAAGAGGAGCCAGAAGAGGACCTTGAGCCTCTTCCTGCGGTCAGAGTAAATCAAGAAGAGTGTGATATATATTATCTCAATGACACACCCTGCACCATTTATGGTCACTACAAGCAAGCTGTGTGGGTGCACCATGGGTAGACCGTACAGGGTCCAAACCATGCAGTTTATGAGGGTGGCTAAGTATGGCACTGCCGAGTACTGCTCCACTGATCCTTTCTTCCATATTTGGACAAATGTTGGCCTGTATATATTTTAATTCAAATTTTAATAAAGGCAAACGCATATACTAATTCAGGATAAGAACAAACAATAGCCAAGCTAGCTTGCTTCATGCTTTGATTAAGCCAAGATTTTTATTTTTTACTTAATTGAGTAGTAATTATTATTATTATTATTAATACGTTTGACTATGAAAAAGTAGCTTAACTTAGGACATATGATTTATCATGAGCTTAACATTTATCAAATAGAGTAAGGTACTTGTAACTCCTTTATTTAAAAAAAATTAATAATTAGGTCACTGGTTCTTAATAATAATAATATATGAGAGGTTATACTTACACCCTCTTTTCCCTCACAGGCATTTTTATGATTGTTGAATAAAAATCAAATAACAATCCTCTTTTTCCTCACAAGAACTTTTATGGTTGTTGGATCAAAATCAAATTAACAATGCTCACTTAATGAAATTACACCGTTAATTTGATTTTGATCCAACAACCATAAAAGTGTATGTGAGTAAAAGAGGGTGTAAGTATAATTAATCTCTCCCATATTATTATTATTATTACTATTAGGGATAAGTTTTTTATTTTGGTATCCTACTAGGGATAAGTTATTCTATTTGCCTTTTCTTCTGCCTATCTTTACCTACAATTATTCAATACTGTCAGATCTCAACTAACATTTATCTTTCTCTCTCCTCTTGAGATTCTCAACCCTTTTGAAAAATGATAGGCAAAGTTAAGCAGAAAAAAAAAAAGAAAAAAAAATAACATATCCCTTATTATTATTATTATTATTATTATTAAAAAGCATATCTTTTAGGTAACACGGTTAACGTTCGAGGTATATAACCTGAAATTAAAGGTGGGATGGCCCGCCTCTTGAAAGTGGATTAGAAATATAATCCACCCCATTTTATGGCGAGTAGGCAAGTCAATCAGTTCAAAAGTTTAAAAATTTAAAAATAAATAATATTTTATGAATTTTATAATATAATTTCATTTCATTTCATGCTCTCCCTGATTTTTTTCAAATCTCAAGCCTAAATGTTTGTTAATAATCAGTTACTCAATCTATAGAAACTCATTTTTGCTTACTATAAATAAAGGGTTTTTTTTCTAAGGGAGTATGAAGATAAATTTTTTGGATATTACAAAAGCTTAACATGACAAATAACATACAACTTGACGATAAAAAACAATTGACCTAATAGGTTGAACCCATTTTGATCTACTCTTATGTAGGGTGACTTAAAAGTTAAAACAAGTTGACGAATTTAGAATATCAACCCAATCTGCTACTTGTGGCGGGTTAAACAGGTCAATCCAACGGATTAAATGAGTTTTGTCACCTCTTATAAAAACACTATAATAAAAAAATACAATAAAACAAGTTGACTAATTTAAAATCAAGTTTAGTGATTATCAATGTATTTAGGAAGGATTTTTATTGTTTGATAAATGAATAATCTAAATAAATAAATACAGAGTCGGTGGCTCGGTGCATATTATTACTTTTTCTAATTTTTCAATTTTTCTACTAATTCAGTTCAAGCTCGGATGAAGTTATTTACTGAAGGTGATTATTACAAGTCTATTTTTTAACTTTTCGTGTTAAATGTCTAATTAAGAAAATTAAATTATTTACTATTTCAATTAATGGTGATGGAATCGATATTATTAAACTCTATTAGGTTATTGATTCGATCGGTGCTAACCAATTAAATTAAATTTATATAAAATATATATAATAAATATGATAATAAATTTCTTTTAACCTCAAAGTCATTGTAACCTAATAATAAATGTTACACGATTTCCAACTGCTATCTATTTAATCTGCTTTCGGCATTATAGGAAAGAGAAAAGAGAAAGAAAAAATATGAAAAAAAAAAAGTATAAGAAGAACCACTGAGTTAATTTCCCTAAAATAGAGAAAATTAAGAAAGAGATGAAGCTTACACGGGGGACAAGAACATACAGCCTGAGATGATGTTCCCTGAAAGCAAGAAAAAAAATGTGAAAATTGATAACTCAAATAGATAAAAGTGAAAAAAGAAAAATTAGGAAAACAATTTTAAAAATAGCACAAGAAAGTTAAAAACTTAAAATCTTCCAAGAGATTCAACTTCAGGAAAGCACGTTTGATATTCTATTTGAAATCGAAGTTGACTAAATAAATTGACCCACCAATGATACCAACAACGGTTCGAGCAATATCTGCAGTACTCATTTTTCCTAACTGAAGTCTGAAAGATAACTCACATCAAAGAGGTAAAAGCGTGAAGTGAAACCCAAGAGAAAAGAGAGAGAGAAAGAAAGAGCGAGTGCATGACATGTTTTGGGTGGTGTGTCTTATAAATAGAGCCATTTGACACAAAAAATGGAGAGAAAAATAAATTCTTCCACTTGATTTTGGCACTACTTTTAAGATGTTCAGGACCCTAGCCAAGCGTTACGGTGCTCGTCACTGGCTCGTCTTACAATGATGGACCCATCCCCACATATAAATTCTTCCCTTGTATCTCATTCTTCCAAAACAAAAGCATTAACTACTCATGAATTGCTGCTAATCAATGTGAATATTAAAGTCATCATTTTTTAATGGGTATCAATGTGCAGTAAAATTGTTAGATAGTCTTTTTGATAGTTATATTTATTACAAAATTTAATATTCATTAATTAAACTATTTACTAATAAGTATATAACAATTAATCTTTAAATAATTACCTATAACACTACCATAACTTCTCTCTTAATTTCATGAACACTTGAGTAATTAATTTTTTTTTCATGATTTTGGTGCCTTAACATTTTGAACCATACATGACTATGAATTTGGATCTCTTAAGAGTTTAAGAAAAAACCAACAAGGGTAATAATCAACCTGTCATGCTTAAGTGTGTTAGATTAAATTCGTGTAGGTAGCCAGTGTTTGGAGCGTGATGGAGTCATGCATTAAATATTGGATTATTTCATATCTGAACGAGTAATCTCATTGTTTCCAACTTGAAACACAAACTTCTTTTTTTGGTCCACTAACGAAAGGGATGGATTCTGTGCAATTAATTTTCTGCCGTTGCCGATGAGGTTTCCAAAAAAAAAAAACTGTGCCGGTGCATGGGGTCCAATTTATTTTACATAATAGAAATAATCTTTTTCCTTTTTAAAAAAAAATTAAAGTCAATAATTGATTTAAAATTCTTGCAGGTTTATGGCTTCTCAGCCGTTATCGATATTAAAATATTAGTTACAGCTCTTACACCCGTTATTAAAATATTAGTTAAATATACGCGTAAACATTTTTTAGCTTCGTCGTCTTACTCAACTGTTAATACCCCACTTCGATTGTTATTCCCTATAATTTCAAAATAAAGTCGTTTTTAAGCGGTTTAAGAAAAAAAAATATAGGATATTTTAATAAAATTATATGAAATAAAATAAAAGTAAAATTATTAAAATATCATAAAAAAATTCTAAATCTCAAAATAATATTATTCTGGCATTCTAAATCTCAAAATATTATTATTTTGGAATTGCCATAGATAATTTTATTTTATGTTGTTGAGGAAATATTTTTCCCTTATTTTATATATGAGTACTTATTAGTTCTTTTTTTTGGAAATAAGAGTACTTATTAGTTAACATATTATTGGACATTTATACAATTTTTTCTGTAGACGGAAGTAGAAATCAGAGCATGTTTACATTTATAAATTTAACTATTTGCATGCAATCTCATATTTTCATAACATTTTTTCCGTTAACCGCAACGTCATAGTTTTCTTTAAAATGTGAGCATTTGAATTGAATAGATGGTTTTGTTTTTAGTTTTTAAGAAATTCGTATAGTTTGTTTTAAAATCATTTATTCCCCATAAAAAAAATTATCGATTACTTTCCCTATTTTTTAATCCAAATCCAAATTTATCGTCATTATTAACTCATATAAGGGGTCTTTATTCTAGAAGGCCCAATGAAAGGCAACATAAAGAGAAAACTAAGACAAATAAAGGAAAGTGTTGTCTCTATATGACAGAGATGTCTAGTCTATGACTAATAGAGTTTACCTTTAGGGATCGTTTGGTGGACATGATAGGATAATTGTAGGATCTGATATGAGGCTGATAAGGGTATGATATGGGACTGATAAGCCTATATCATGTCTTGTGTTTGATGAGCACCTGATTAGCAATCTTATAAGATTATGTAGAAGGAGAAAGAAAAAAGAAAAAAACAAAATATAATGCAATAAATAAAAATATATTGGGTAGCGTAGGGATATATTGGGTAGCGTGGGGATATATTGCGTATCCAATATTGGTATCTTATCATGTTGAATCTTAACCCAGCTCCCCCCATAGGATAAGAAATCATGTATTAGATAGGATAAAATGAGACAATAGGATAAACTAATCATATCCTATTGACCCACCAAACAAGAGATAAAAGTAGGATATGATAAGTTATCTTATCCTATCTTTTTATCAGGTGCTCCAAACAGGCCCTTAGGGTTTGACTAATTTGGATTCCTGCTGAGTAGACTCAGCTGACTCCTTGCTTAGCTGGAAAATGATTATTTCTGATGGGCCATCTGAACCTATGGGCCTTACACAGGTCCATAACAGTTTCCCCCTAACCGGGTATCTTGGTTGATCAATGTACCGGGGTGCATACTTCAGTTGGTTATCTGAACATGTGTGTTGCCATGCGTGTTGCCTCCAACCCGGTGACTTGGTTGACCAAAGTACCGGGATGTATACATTCATTACTTATATCTGTTCTGCTTTGAAGAGGAACTCTTTTATTCGGGTTCTTTCTATTTTTTTTTATTTTTTTTTAGCCGGATAGGTTTTCCAACCATGGCATATACATGCCTTGTTTCATTCCGAATAGCTGAGATACATCGGTATTTTCTCAACTTCATTTTCAGACTGTTGTTGTAGATGTTACTTCTTCGAAGTAAACTACCCTACACATGGCATATTTTCATTCATTTACCATGCATTGTCTTCCCCTCCACGCCACATGCATTAAATGCAAATTGTCAGTTACGTCCTTTAACCGTCATGTCTATAGCATTGTTTTACCAATTTTCCCCTGCCTTTTCATTTCGCAGTTTTGAGTCGTTTAAGTTTCTGACTTTTGGCTTGTTCCGCTTATTTCATATCCATTTTGTAGGTCCCGGATGAACTCAAGAGAGGAGGTGAATTGAGTTTTACAAAAATAATTTGCTAATTAAAAATTAACTCAAAGCAATAAATCAAAATAAAGATAGAGAGATATTGACATTATAGATTTTACGTGAAAAACCCAAAAGAGAAGAAAAACCATGGGCCCTAAAATCGAATATTGAAATTCGATGGGCAACTCCACTATGAAACTTGTGCACAAGGAGTTCTCTAGTATCCTAGTTTTCTAGTCTACCTCTTACACAAATTCTCACTTGGTATCTTAGTTTCCCAGTATGAAATCCTAACCCTTTAGGATTCTGAAACCCTATCACACAAGGGTTCTCAAGTCACTATCTGTTTCCAAGAAAAAGAGATATGCTGGTATCCCAGTTTTTCAGCACAAGAACTGGTATCCAACTTTTCTAGTAAAGACCTTCAAAAAGGTCAAGAAGAAATTTACAATTAAATGATTTACCTCAATGCTTCTTTTCCTCAAGCATATAGGTAATCTGAATCCAATGGAGAAATATTCACTCTGCCAAAAGATGAATGTATGAATGATTGTTCTTGAGAAAACTATTCAATTGATGCACAAGAAAGAATCCTAATCTTGAAAATCTAATTCTCTCTTTTCTTTCTTGTATTTTCTCCCTTATGAAGTAATATGCAATGAGCCCTATTTATAATAAGGGAAATTATTTTCTTATTTTACATAAGATAACAAAAGTTTCTTATACACACATCTAGAGGAGAGATGAGAGAAAATATAGGAAAGAGAAAATAAATAAATTAGTCTCATTTCTTTATATGTGAGTGTAGGAAAGTGTTTTTATCTTATGTAGCATAAGAAAACAATTCCCCTTATAATAATAACATTTTCTCTCTCCTAAAAGCCCAAAAAGTATAATATTTGAATTTGAAATATTTTTCAAAATCTAACCAGAAATCTTTTACCCTGGAATGAAATTTTAAATGAAATTTTCAAAAATAAGATTTCTGATTTTTTTCAAATAAAAAATATGTAAACCTTAAATATCTTATTTTATTATGCAATGCAATCCTAATCAAATCTTTGGCAAACAATATTTTATTTCTCCTATATGACATCTAAAAGATAAAATATATCCTAAATTTTACTTGATCCCATGCTTTTCTCTCTCTTCATGATATCTTCCATATCTTCTTCAATCTTCAATTATATTGAATACTATTTCAATTAAGAATAAATATTATTCTAAAATCTCAAACAATCACCTCATTAGTAATTTCAAGACAATAAAATATTATCAATTAAATTAACATTAAATTGATTGTAATCATCAAAACATATTTTAAATCAATTAGACAATTGAGGTATAACAAATATCCAACACATTTCTCTTCATCTGCTCCACAAATTCGCTTCATTATGGTGCATTCTTTTGAACATGCGCGACTTTTGCTCGTTCTCACTATCTTTCTTTATCCTCATTACCAGGTATATTGATAATTCTCCAACTTATATGCTTTATGTGCTCTGTCTGCAACTTGTATATGTTATTTCCATATGATTTCTCTTTTTTTTTTCCTTGGGACTCATTACTTGTGCTACCTGCCATATGTATCTTTTAGGCTCTTCTACTGCATTTTTTTTTCTGGTTTTACTTGAATCTGTTAAATCTGGGTTTCTGTACATGACCCATTTCTGCTTTCCTTTTTCCATTAAATAATAGTATGAGTGGGGGAAGTTCTGGTGGACGAGGGAGGCCAACTTGTCCTCGTGGCTTTAGTCGAAGTGATGAAATAGATCAGGATGAAGAGATATTCATTCCAAGTCTTTCTCCGAGTCTGAGGTATTGGATCTTTGGGAGACCTTGGACCGAAGAGGAAACACAAGCTGCATTACTAGGGGGGATATCGAGGAGGTAGTAGTAAAAAAAATCCTTGTCTCGGTCTCCTTCCAACGGGGGTCGAGGTTCGAATCTAGGTCGCGGTCATGGGAGCACCCCTGCTTCTAACTTATCTAAACCACCATCCATACCATCTCATTCACCATCTTCTTTTTACGGTTCTGAGACTC